TTGTTTGTTTGTTTGTTTTTGCCTGCCTTTCACACTATTGTAATGCCTAAATTTATGAAATCCACAAAAGATTTGAATATGTAATTTGAGAGATATATGAAGATGAATGTCAGCATTTTGTTCTTTGACACTTTCTAGAATATTGGAGTTTTATGTATGGCCACATTTTAGATCCTTAGGGTTTTGTTTTGTCTAATTGACTTTTTCTGCCACTACTAAGGCTTTCCTATGTTGCTGCCATCCCATTCACTGTTTGAAAGGACCTTTGTGATCCCTAGGGGCTTTAATGTGCCATTTGTTTTTGTTCATGCTCTTCTTTGCCAGCAACAGCCATCATTCAGGTTGAAGACCAGAATACAGGTGCAATTGAGAACATTATAGTTGAAGTCAAAAAAGAGCCAGACGCTGAGCCTGTGGAGGGGGAGGAAGAGGAGGCCCAGACAGCCACCACAGATGCCCCCAATGGGGACCTCACACCCGAGATGATCCTCAGCATGATGGACCGGTGATGACGGGGCTTGCTCGTCTCCAGGACTGCTTTGGGCTGTGTTTAAACGGCCCAAATCTTAATTTTTCTCCTTTCTTTCTTCTTTTGGCTCTGGGAAAAGCATTTTACACCATTTTACAAAACATACTGAGAAAGAAAACTTCAAGGATGATGTTAGAAAAATGTGATTTAACTAGAACTTGCTGTTTGATGGTAGCAAATCATGGAATGTTCCTGAGTACCTGAGGGTTTACTTTGAAGTGCTGAGGACAGTGTTCATGCCGAACTAGTTTTCTTAGATGGAAACAAAGACATTGAGCCCTCTCTCTTGATTTAGTAAACCACTCCAGAATGGCCACGGGTTTCCCAGAGTTCTATGGTCTTCTTCCCAAGAGAGTTTTTAATTGTAAATGCAGACTTGGGAAGGACTTAGACTTTTAACCTGTTTTTTGCTTTTGCTTTTCCCTGACTCCCTTTGCTCGGAGTCAGCTGCACACCAGTAGTATGGCATGCTACGATCGGTTTCTGTCCTGAAACTTTGCCTCTTTCTTGGCAAAGTTTCTGGTATGGTCAAGCTTGTAAATAACTTTTTTTACATTTTAATCTTTTCCATTAATTAAGAGGTTGAAAAGAAGTGCAGTGTAAGAAAACCCAGCATTTTAATTACTTACAAATTAAGTTACCACGGACTTGGTGGTGTGTAAATGTTGACAAGGAGTTGGATCACAATCATGTAGCAGAAGAGCACCCAGACCACTGCCTGTTAGTGATGGACACCCATGTGGAAAGACGTGGTTTCCAGCCCATGGAGCCAGCATTTGAACCTTGTACAATTAACTTTCAGTTATGATTTCCCATCAACATTTTCTTTGCTCTGTTTGTAGCTGAATGTTGTTTTATAAATCCTCTGTTAAAGCCAGAAGGATGATTATGAGTGGATCACAGCAGCCCTGACAAGCTGGGCCAGAAAATTTCACTAGGTCAGTAATTGAAACTCTGGATCTTCAAAACAATAATAATAATAATGTGAAGAAAAACAACTAAAAAGTGATTCTTGCACATGAACTGTCACATGTTTAAAATGTGTTTTTTAGAGCGCCTCAGTCTTACTGATTTCAAACACTTTCTTCTGTGTATTGCTTTTAAGAGAACCATCAGTTAGCTATCAGACTCTAGGTTGATGCATTTTGTACTTAGCTGTACTGTGTGATATTTTTCATTATTTTAGGACGCCAACATGAGACCTGTAATAAAATATGTAATGGGGTTGAAAGCTGGGGAGGAGGATCTACTGCTGTACAGCTAATAAATCATAACGGATTAACAAGTGCTCTGAAGACTCCCTCTTATGTCATTCTTGCCTGCTGTGGACCAAGAAGAGCCTATGTGTGGCTCTAGGGACATCGGACAAGATGCGTGCAGCTTTAGCTGCTCTGTGGTCTCTGGTTAGCCAGGCCCGGTACTTCCTAAGTCTTGGGACTCCAAGCCAGGCTGTCAGCTCCTTGGACTGCATATTAGTGGCCTCAGCCTGGCAGAACATGAATTTCATGATTTTCTCCCTACCAGAATTGTTTTCAATGGGCCATAATTTAAAACTAGCTGTATTTATAATAGCAAATCTCTGCAGAACGCTGAAGCTAAATTACCTTCAGTATAGCTTGTTTTCTGATGGTATGTGTTGAAATTGTTTGAAAGTTTGAAAGTGGTTTCATTTTGGCTGGGCTGGGGACAAGAGAAGTGACATTCTAATGATCTGAGATTTGAAAGGGATCCTCTTGCATAGTCTGTAATATGGCCTGTGTGACTCCACTAAATACAAAATTTTCAGTAGCAGGAGCTAGCTGTCACTAATATTCCTCCACCCAAGAGAACTCTGGGTAGCCAGTGAACCTGTCTGCAGCTCCCTTCCTCAGTGTTAAGCTGTATTAGTACTAAAGAAACATCTCGGAATGGGGCATGTGGTTCAGTAGTAGAGCACTTGCCTAGCGTGTATGAGGCCCTGAGTTTAATCCCCAGCACTAAAAACCCTCTTTCCACAGCTGGGCTGGCATCACCCCTGTCCACTGCTACCCAGTTCAGCAAACACCTGAGTGAGCCCTCATTGCTTTTAGTCAGGATCTTTGAGGGGGAAGGGGAGAGTTACTGGAGATTGAATCCAGGGCCTTTGCAGTGACTGTAGCAATCTAAATCCTGAGGCCTTTTTTAAAAAAAAGGGTCTTGCTAAATTGCCCAAACTGGGCTTTAATTTGTAATCCTGCCTCAGCCAACCAGAGTTCTGGGATTACAGGTATGTGCCCCCACATCCAGGTAACCACTTCTCTTAATAGTGATCACATCCAATCTTACTTAAGGATTTAAGTACTATATATTCTTTCTCTACTGTTTTTTTTTTTTTTTTTTTTAAGATAAACCAAACAAAATAGAATCCTTAGAGAAACACTCAGGTAATGCAAAAAATCATTAGAAGACCTGGGATTTAGCTCGGTGGTGCTACGTCTGCCTTGCATGCACAGAGTCCTGAGTTCAATCCTCAGAATTGGGGGTGGGATTAGAGCCAGGTGTGGTGGTGCCTGCCTGTAATCCCAGCACTCAGAAGGCTGAGGAAGGAGGATCACCAGAAGTTCTGGGCTACATAGTGCACAACCATAAGTAGTGCCTACATAGTGAGACCCTGCCTCATAAAACAAGGTCAGAGAGGCTAAATAAATAATTTATTCATTATCAGAATTCAGGCAGTCAGGCCGAGGATAGCTCAGTACGGTACCATGTCTGCTTTGCAAACAAGGTCCTAAGTTCGATCCCTGGTACCCAAAAAAAGGCAGTCTACCTTTAGAACCCACCTTTAGTGCCATATTGTGTATGAGACCTGTTAAGCTGTTCCCCTAAAAGCAGTTTGAGGGTTCCACGTGTCTTAAGAGTTTAGGCTAAGTATGGACTCTCAGTATAGTAGGCAGCAAGGCCTCTCACCTCTGTGGTAACTGCTGCATCCTCCAGCCAAGTCCTCGACAACCTTTGGCTGTCTCACCTATGCCTGTTTCTTAGGTGGAGGAGGCTTCCTCCAAATTGCTACTGTTCAATTTCTACTTTTACCTGCTTCCAGTCCTTCAGGGCACCTCAGCAAGTAGGTATTTTTATTTCTGAGTCCCTGGGGATTGAACTCAGGGCTTTGTGTGTTCTATATAAACTCTACCAGTGTACTGCTCTCCCAGCCCTGTTTATAAGAGACAGAATCCCGGGCTGGCCCTGAACCACTGGACTCAAGTGCTCCTTCTGCCTCACCCTCCTAAGTACCTGGGACTCAGATTATGGGAGGGTGAGGAATGGGTGGTTCTGGATGTCTTGGGATATCTTCCCACTGTCTGTGGGAGGAACAGCTACAGATGGGAAAAACCAAAGGATCACTGCCCAGTCTATGGTTTCTTCTACTTTCCAGATCTATGTGTCTGCACGAGCTGCGGGCAAGGTAGAAGGCTGCGCTGCTCCTTACCTCCTGAGTAGAGTTTAACATTTATAATGAGCCGGGCGTGGTGGCACATGCCTATAATCCCAGCACTCGGGAGGCTGAGGCAGGAGGATTGCTGTGAGTTCGAGACCAGCCTGAGCTACATAGTGAATTCCAGGTCAGTCTCAACTACATAGTGAGACCCTGTCTCCCCCCCCCCCCCATTTTTTTTTTGTAATGAAATGGAAGAAAGGAAGTAATTCCTTTGTGCCCTCAAATCAAATTCCCATAGTCTTTTGTAGAGCAGCATTTTGTCTGGCAGGCTCCACCCTCTACTTTGCTGGCTCTCCCTGTCCTGGAGACACTAGCTTCCTTGTCAGTCACTCAAAAACAAAAACCCACACACAAGGCCTGGTGTGTTAGCATAAGGCCTGTAATCCAGCACTCAGAATGCTGAAGCAGGATTGCCATGAGTTCGAGGCCAACCTGGACTACATAGCTAGGGAGACCTTGTCTCAGGTGAATGAATAAAATGTGCTGGGCATGTAGCTCATTGCACAACGGCCCCGGGTTCAATGCCCGGTACCAAAATAAAATAAAGCCCATGCCAGTAGTTCCAGCGTTCTGGAAACAGGAGGATTGAGTTTGACCCCTGCTGGGGTGAGTTAGTGAGATCCTGTATCCAAAAAGGGCTGGGAATGCAGCTCAGTGGCAGGTCGTGGGTTTAATACCCAGTGCTACCACCAAAACAACCACGGGTCCAGGGATTTAGCTAAGTGGTGCCGCCTTCTGCTTTGCAAGCCCAAGGTCCAGAGTTCCGATCCTCGATACAAACAAAACAAAACACAGGATAGCTCTTATGTACCTAGCTTTTACTTATGGGTGACTCTAGCCCTCCACTCAAAAGACCCTCTAGTCTTTGAGCTTCAGATTTTACCCGAGAATGCTCCATAAGAGCCCCTGGTACACTGCACCTTCCAACCCTGACGCACTGTGAACCTGATGAAGCAAAGGTCCCTCTCCTACAGTGAAGGGGCCTGGACCCATCTGGCGACTTTCTCACCCTTTCAGAATTTTACTGAATCCCTACGGAGTAACGAGCCTGAACTAGAAGCAACAGGACCAGCTCCTGGTGTTGGAAGATAGGTGCTCCTTGGGGAGCCAATTCCTTCACCCTGGGCGCTTACTGTGCTCCAGCCTGGGCCGAGAAGGGGCTGCACCAGAGTGGGCTTCGGGATCCCATGGAGGGCAGCGCTCTCTGGTGTTTGCGGCAGGGACTGCGGGACGGGGTGAAAGCGGGACAGAGGAACCGCAGGAGGCAAGGTACACGCGCGCGTGACCCTCCCGGGTACACTACCCCTTACGTCCTCACACATGCACTCATGCGAAGTTCCTGCGCGACGGGACTCGGCCACCCTCCTGCAACTCCAAACCCAGGCGAACCCTCAGCGGGCAAGGCCCGCGCTGGGAGGGGCCGGGCCGGGGGCGGCTGGCAGGAAGCTACGCGTACCTTCCGCTGCAGGAGGAGCAGGTGGCTGCAGGGCGGCCTGAGGGCCCCAGGCTTCCTGTGTGGGCGCCAGCCTGCTGTTCTTTCCTGCCCCAGCTTGTTGGGCTGCCGCGGCCGGCCCGGCCCAGTTCCATGGCCCAGATCCCCGACGGCATCTCCTGTGAGCTGCGAGGTAAGCACTGACCCTTTCTGCCCACTCGGCTGAGCCGAGGCAGCGCGGCCAGAGGTTCACCCAGCGCCCGGAAAAATGGCCAGAGCGTCTTGATGCCTGTCCTGGGGACTGTTGTCCCCAGATCCACCGCATTTCCTTCTGGCTGGCACAGGCGGTGGACACCTGTGGCTGCGTTGGGCACCAGTGGCCTTGATAGGAGGATAAAAGTCATCCAGCAGGCTGTCCTTCCACAGGCGAGATCACCAGGTTCCTGTGGCCAAAGGAGGCAGAACTGCTCCTAAAAACCTGGCTTCCCCAGGAAGGTGCTGAGCGAAGTCACGTCCTGGTATGGTGGGCAGAAGCAGAGCCCAGGAGGGCATCTGGGGCCCAGCAGAAAGCCTCTTGCCTCGGCCCAAATATCAGACTCTGTCTCACCCAGGCGCTGCTGCGATGGAGGGCCTACCTGCTACACACTTGCATCCCACTGAGGGTGAGTCCTAGGGCCTGGCCCTACCCTACTTTCCCTCCAGCAGCTTCCTTGACAAGGGCTTCCATCTGCAGTTGTCCTCTTGTCCTTGTGTGATCTGGCTTTTCAACAGCACTGGGATCCAGGCAGCAGACAGAAGGAAGCCTTAGCAGGCCTGGTTCTGGGGTCCAGGCTGCACAAAAGACTGAGGACCCAGCAGGGCATGGTAACACACTTCTGTAATCTCAGGGCTATTATAGGAGGCTGAGACAAGAGGGTCACAAGTTCGAGCCCAGCCTCAGTAACTGAGTGACTTAGTGAGACCCTGTCTTAAAATATAAAATAAAAGGATCTAGAGATATACCTCAGTACAGAGGCCCTGGGTTCAATTCCTATTACTCCCCAAGAAAGAAGACAACTGTGCTTCCAGTAGGGTGGCCCTTGGGGCTTGTCCCAACTGATCCAGTCACTCCCTAGGTGGATTGCACTTTCAGCTATCTAGAGGTCAGGGCCATGGCACTGCAGGAGACACCCCCTCAGGTGAGACATCTGGTGCCCCCCCACCCCCGGTCTTTACCGACAGCCCTAACCCCTTACACAGTTCTGGATGGGATACCTAGCCCCGCACATGGAACCGAGGCCCATAACCTCTTCTTCAGGTCACCTTTGAGCTGGAGTCCCTGCCTGAGCTGGTCCTAGAATTTCCTGGTGTGGCCACCCTAGAACAGCTGGCCCAGCATGTGGCTTCGGCCATCAAGAAGGTCTTCCCTCGTTCAGCCCTTGGGTAAGGCCTGGCAACGGCAAAGAGCTAGAGCTGGAGTGCTGAAGTACAGCTGGAGATGTTCTGATGGGCTCTCATGGACTGCAAGTCCCTTCTGCCTTCTCCTTTTCCTGCTCCCCAGGAAGCTATTCCGGAAGCCCACACCTGCCTCAATGCTGGCTCGGCTAGAGAGAAGTAGCCCCTCAGAGTCCACAGCCCTCAGCAGCCCCTGTGGTAAGCACCAAGGCAGGGCCACATAGACTTTCTAGTCAGCCCCAGATCCTTGGAGTTGAGGGGTTTCCAAACTGAACAGAACCACATGGGTCATAGGTGCCACCCAGCCTGGGTCTGATCTTCCTCCATCTCTTTTTGTTTCTTTTCTTCCCTTTGTCATACTCCTGGTACCTCCCCAGGTGGCTTCTTGGAGACCTATGAGGCTCTGTGTGACTACAATGGCTTCCCTTTCCGAGAAGAGATTCAGTGGGTGAGGGTAGGGCCCTCTCTGCTGGGCTCTGGAGACATCTGATCCCCCATATATGCTGCCCCCTCCTTGCCCTTTGTGGCCTCAAGCCAGTTGTAGCTACTTTGTTTCCATCTAGGATGTGGACACAGTCTACCATCATCAGGGATGCCGCCAGTTCAGCCTAGGAGATTTCAGCCACCTTGGCAGCCGGTATGAGGCCTGTGAGGATTGGAAGGGGGAAAGGAGTCCAGGACCCGTATTCCTGGGCCTCAGCCTATCTATGGAGGGGGTGTTGGGCCTAGACCTGTCCCCGCCCTTCTCCCCACCCCCCCACCCAGGGACCTGGCCTTGAGTGTGGCTGCCCTGTCCTACAACCTGTGGTTCCGGTGCCTCTCTTGCGTGGACATGAAGCTGGTGAGCTTATAGGGTAGGGAGGAGCCAGGAGATTGGAGCCAGGGTGTACCCTACTGAGCTATAACCCTTTTGTCTCAGAGCCTTGAGGTTTCAGAACAGATTCTGCACATGATGGGTCAGTCATCCCACCTAGAAGAGCTAGTGCTGGAGACCTGTGGCCTGAGAGGGTGAGGAGACTGGGGAGGGGAGCGTTGGAACTCAGGATAGGTGCTAAGTGCCTGGGAGGACTTGGGAATCCAGGGTCAATCTCATGCCTGAGGTTTTGGTCCTCAGAGACTTTGTCCGACGACTGGCCCAGGCACTGGCAGGACATTCGAGCTCTGGGCTTCGAGAGCTCAGCTTGGCTGGGAACCTGCTAGATGACAGAGGTACGGCTGGAAAAGCCTGGAAAAGCCCATGGGCAGGAAGCTGGAGGATGTGAAACTCACAGGGCTGCCCAACCCCCAGGCATGGCGGCGCTCAGCAGACACTTAGAGCATCGTCCAGGAGCCCTCAGGAGACTCAACCTAGCACAGACAGGGTTGACACCTCGAGGTGGGCCAGGAGACAGTGGGGTGGGAGAGGGTAAAGGGGTCTACCTGATTACTGAGCCTCCCCATCTTCCCACTCCAGGAATGAGGGCCCTGGGCCAGGCACTAGCCACCAATGCTACCTTTGACTCTGCACTGACCCATCTGGACCTTTCTTGGAATCCTGGGGCGCTAGGGGCCTCAGAGGACAATGGGGTGAGTGGCTGCCCTCACTCCATTGGTGTTCCTGCAGGCAGTGGGATGTCCAGAAGCCCTAGATAGAAATACCTGACTCCCTCCCACCCTCAACCTCCTACCAGGGCCTTTATACTTTCCTGAGCCGTCCTAACGTTTTGATGTTCCTGAATCTCGCAGGCACAGACGCTGCCCTAGACACTGTGAGGGGTGTTCCTGGGGGGATGATCAGCAGGGCTCAGTAGCCCAAGCTGGGTTGATTGGAGGGCAGGGTGGGGGCAGGGATGGTTTGGCGCCCCCTCCCCACAGGTAGCAAACACCTTCCTCCCACAGCTCTTCACAGCACTGGCCAGTGGCTGCTGTTCCAGCCTCACCTACCTTGACACTTCCAGGAATGTCTTCTCTCATTGGTAAGGGGTGCCGGTCCCGGGTGGGGAAGGCTGTGAGGAGCCACCTCCCTGTGTCTGAAGTCCAATTCTCCCACTCCCTACCCTAGCAAGTCCCGGGCTGCCCCTGCCTCACTGCAGCTCTTCCTCAGCCATGCAGAGACCTTACGTCACCTGGGCCTGGCAGGCTGCAAACTGCCACCTGAAGCACTCAGGTCAGTGTCATTGTGCCCCACCATGCCCCTTCACTGAAATCACCCTGACCCGGCCTCCGAGGCTTTACCCTGCAACTCCAACTCTCAAAAGCCCCAGGCTCCCTTCATATTGGCCCTGCCTTTTTGGTATTCCTTCGTACCCTGATGCCCCCTTTCCCAGCTCCCACCACCCACTTGGCACCCTCTCCCAGGGCTGTTTTTGATGGCCTGGCACTCAACACACACATCCGAGACCTGCATCTGGACCTCAGTGCTTGTGAGGTGAGCACCCTGTCCTAAGAGTGAACATGCAGAGCTCCCACACACTGGGAGTGGGGTTACTGGATGCCTACCCCTCCTCTACTATGGCCTGAGTGGACCCCACCTTCTACCTCCAGCTGCGCTCTGCGGGTGCCCAGGTTATACAAGACTTAGTGTGTGATGCAGGTGTCATGAGCTCCTTGGATCTGGAGGATAATGGTAAGTCATGCCCAAAACCCATCCTCCCCGTTGTCCAGCCAACTCCCTGATCCCCACCCCGTCGCAGCAGTCTCGCCTTAAACGTGACCCTAGTTGCCCCCAGGCTTTGGCTCAGACATGGTGACTCTGGTGCTGGCCATTGGGAGGAGCCGGTCGCTGAAACATGTAGCACTTGGAAGAAACTTCAATGTCCGGTGCAAGTGAGTCCCCATCTCACCCAGGCCTCCCAAGCAGCACCTCTCTACCCTGTCCCCTCTCCCAACATAAGCCCCTGTTGACAGGGAGACCCTGGATGATGTCCTGCACCGGATTGTCCAGCTCATGCAAGACGACGACTGTGTGAGTTCATGGTACTTTGTGGGGTGCTCAGATAATAGACCCCTTTGATTAGGTTGGCTTTTCCTCCTCAGACCCTCTGACCTGCCTTCTTTGCTGAAACCCTGACTCCAGTCATGGCTCTCTCTTAACCCCAGCCCCTGCAGTCTCTGTCTGTGGCTGATTCGAGGCTAAAGCTGGGTGCCAGTGTCCTGCTCCGGGCACTGGGTGCCAACCCTAGCCTGACTGCACTGGACATCAGTGGCAACGCCATAGGGGACACGGGCGCCAAAATGCTGGCCAAGGCTCTGAGAGTCAACACGAGGCTCCGGTGGGCAGTGTTTTGTTTGTTTTTGGGGGGTACCAGAGATTGAACTCAGGTCTTTGCGCTTGCAAGGTGGGCAGTGTTATCATAAGAGTGGGACCGATATGGGAGGAGGGAGTGGTAGGAAGGGGGGGGGCTGAAGGAGCAGACTCGTGGACCAAATGAATGGACAAAGCTAGTGGGCTGGACAGGGCCTTGCAGAGCTCTGCCCCCAACTGAAGCCCGACCTGGTTTAGGTCTGTGATCTGGGATCGGAACCACACATCGGCTCTGGGGCTGCTGGACGTGGCGCAGGCTCTGGAGCAGAACCACAGTTTAAAGGACATGCCTCTGCCACTTAACGATGTGGCCCAGGCCCAGCGCAGCCGCCCAGAACTGACAGCGCGAGCAGTCCATCAGGTGGGGATCTCCTTCTCCCCTGACATTCTTTGCACAGTGGTGCCATCCTCCCCCGTTTCTCAGTACCCCTTGCCCCTAGATCCAAGCCTGTCTCTTGAGGAATAACCGCGAGGATCCCGCCTCTTCTGGCCACTCATCCTGCCTTCAGCCATTGAATTTGGACTCAAACCACTCCGAGCAGGTCAGTGCCTCTTGACAGTACCAAGGGAGTCTTCATGAGTCAGAAGCTATGACTCTCCGGGGCCCAAGGTGCTGAGTCCTGCTGTCCCGATCAATTTCCTCTCCTTGGTCTAGAGACAGCCATTTGCTCCAGAAATAGCTCTCCCCAGTAACACCCCTAGCAGCCTTACTTTAAGCATGTAAACAGGCTCTCCTGTTAAAGATAGGACATGACAACCCTAGCTCGCTTTTCCTGATTGTACCCCATCTCTGACTTCCCATTCTCAGGGCTCTCCTCCTCTGTCCACTAACCTCTGTGTGGCAAACCCAACAGCCCTATCTGTGATGTCATCTCCTGCTTCCTGGCCTTTTTAAGATGTTCCCATCTCTCCATTCCCAAATCCCTTCTCTCCTAAGCTCCAGAGCCCAGACACCTTTATCTAGACATCCTGTGGAGGCTTCACACTCTACATGTTTTGAATGGATCTCATCATCTCCCACAAACCCCATTCTCCTCCTTGGAGTCCCATTTTCCTGGTGTCCACAACCACCAAATGTTTTGAACAAAAGTTCGGATGTTTTTTCAGGTCCCTCCTGGACACTCTGGAGTCATCAGAGCCTACCCTTGGTCCTGCCTCTGGACCAGCTCTTAAACGTGCACTCTTCACCCACACACCAACTATCCTTTGCTTCCCCACTCCCTGTGCCATGGCTTCATTTACACACACACACACACACACACACACACACAGACTCAGGTGCTCCTCTGTCTTCTTCTAGGTGGGTGGTGGATAGACTCAATTTCTAAAACAAAGAATGACTAAAAGCTTCTTCTCTGTTCTGGACACTTAGAAAGTATCAAGTCCCTAAAATGATCCAGAAAAAGAAATACTGCTCTCCCTCCTTGAACAAATAGGGTTCCTAAGTGGCTGGCTTGGTATGCAGCTTCAGGGCCTCACTCACCCTGTCAGAGACCCTGGGAGGGAAGGAGGCAGGTAGGGTCTGGGTGCCTAGGAGGGGACTAAACTGGGATTGATCCCTGATGCTTCTCAGGAGGTGAATGAGCTGTGTCAGTCGGTGCAGGAGCACATGGAGTTGCTGGGCTGTGGGGCTGGACCCCAGGGTGAAGCTGCTGTGCACCAGGCAGAGGATGCCATCCAAAATGCCAACTTTTTTCTCAGTGTGAGCACTCTCCCTCCCTTTATAAGGACCTTTCTCCTCTTAGTCACAAGTCAACTTGAAATTCCTTTTCCTCCTTGGACCTCAGATTCTCCCCATTCTCAGTGAGGCTGGGAACTCTCCAAGCTATCAATGGCAGCTGCGGCAGAAGCTGGAGGCCCTCCTGGGACAGGTGGGTGAGATCTGCCACCAGGACATGCAGGTGAGATGTACTGCTGCCCTAGCCCTACCTCCATATGCAAACTTGACCCCATCCCATTGGCTTGACTGTTATATCCTCTGAGTTGTTGGGGTTTCTGTGGGTACAGCCTCAGACCAAGAGACCTGGACCATACCCTCACTGTACTGACCTTTGTCCAGGACTTCATTCGGGCCATACTGGACACAACAAGGAGCCTCTGCCGACAGATGCTGCAGGGACCCGGCTGGAGGGAGCAGCTAGAAGGGGTCCTGGTGGGCTCAAAGGGGCTCTCAGAGCTGCTCCCAGAGCAGCTACTACAAGATGCCTTCACCAGACTTAGGTAGTGTGGGTGGGCCTGGGCTGAGCAAGGCTGTGCATGGTTGTGCAGAGCCAGCAAACTAACTCATACTCTCTCCTCCCTGAAGGGACATGCGGCTATCAGTCACAGGGACCCTTGCAGAGAGCATTGTGGCTCAGGCTCTGGCAGGCCTAAGGGCAGCTCAGGATCGGCTGGTGAGGGGGAGCAGTTCACATATTTACACATACACAGAGTGACCTGGCCATCCTCCTTGCAGGAACCCAGGGCTACTTCACCATTCTCTTATCAGTGCCCATCTTTGGGTGATCTGGTATTTCAGGTGGAGAGTCTGGCTCAGCAGGTACCAGTGGCAGTGCCCCCTAGCCTACCAGCACTGGATGGAGGTGAGCTCAGCCCCCTAGGGCCTGGGGCATTGGAAGGTTTTTTCTTTGCTGAGGACAAGGAAGATGAAGAGGAGAAGGTAAGTGGTCCCAGAATTCTAGGCCTAAGACTCAAAATCTTTCCCTCTTGTTCTGGGGTGTAGAAGGTGAGAGGCAATTCTTCTGGAGTTGCAACCCAAGGCTGAGGTTTTGCCCTAACCAGCAGGATGAAAGTCCTCTGAGGAAATGGCCTGAGCACTGTCTTCACCCGGTCCCCTTCGATCACAGTAAGCCATGGCCTTAAGGAGCGACATTTACCCAAATGGGTTGAACCTCTGTTAGACCTGGGAACCTAGACTGACATACATTCAAGTCCTGTCCTGGGTACCTTCTAACACATGCCTACACCAGGCCAGGACCTTATGAAACCTGCAAAGCTAGGGTCAGGATGAAGACCTGAGCCCAGCAAGGCAGGTCACCATCTCCCCTGCCCCCACTGCCCTGCTCCCTACCACCTGGACGCGCATGCTTGGCCGCCACGCGGAGCCCCGCGCTCTCGGGGCTGCGCTCAGCACCACGGACAGCGGCGGTG